CAGTACAAAATTCTGCTACCAACATATCGATGTTGTCCCATAAAAAACCTCAATTTTTTGTGATTTTAAATTTTATTTGAGGTCTACGGTTGTCCTTTACATTGTGTGAAAATTTTAATGACGATTGGATCAATAGAAATGCTCCAAAATTGCTTCAAATAAAAACTTATTACATTAACTTACATTGAAAATAAAAAACGTTTTGTCCTCTCCTGTAAGGTTTCCATTTTAGAGACACTTGTTTTTCTTTGGACAGTGATGAAATAAAAGCTCAAAAAGGCTTCACCCCTCAGTACCCGAGTGAACTTATCTTTTATCATGAACCATCATGCCTACTTAGATCACAAGGTGGCAGCTTACTATTAGTACCTAAAATTAATAGAGTTACATCAGGGGGTGGGCCCTTTCATACATAGCTTTGGAATAGCCTTCCAGTCTGTGTTTGGGTTTTTAGTACAGGCTAAAAACCTGCTTGTTTAGTCAAGTCTTTGGTAATTAGTTTCTCCTGTTAGATAAAAGGATCTGGGGGATCCATGTACATAGAGCATTCTGGTAAACTGAGGTGCTGTCGTCCTGCTGCTCTCACACTCTCACTCAAATTTGTTGTTGTTGACAGTGGAGCGGAGGGGTGCTGACATCTCAGGGAGCCCTCATGTCTTTGCTGTCTTCTGGCTCTCCCTTTTTAGTTAGGCTGTAATAGCTAGACCTGCCAGAGTCACTGCTTGCACTCTGTCAACACTCTATACTGTTCTCAGTCACCCCAAACAGAACTGTTTGTGTGTTTGTTTGCAGAGCTGGACAACTGCCCATCCTGTGCAGTCTGATGTTGCTTCATCTGCCTTGATTGGGTGCGCCTGCTCACCTGCCCTCTAGACCAGTTTGACCATCATGGAGCTTCCTGCTGTCCAATGCTGTGCAGAAAGCCTCACCTGCATGCCACTCACCCTGCTGATGATACTAGTACACACTCAAACTATTTAATCATAGACACTGTTTCACCTGCCACACAATGCTACACTGAGCTCTTCTCATATTCATACTAACAGATAATCTTGATAGGCTTCTAACAGTAGCCACTTATGTTTATGGATGTAACTTTCATTTTCACTGGGATATGCTCCTAAAGGTAGTCACTGGTATTCACTGGCAACAGTGACCGAATTTCATAGCTCTATTTTTCATTACTACTTCTGTCCAATGACAGGCTGCTTTCTTTTATCTTTTCCTCTATATTCAGTGTTGTATATTCATTGTAAACAATGAAAGAATTTCATATCACTCTCATATTATTTCAAAACAATTCAACTTAGGTTGTGCCCCCCTCTCCCCTAGTCCTTCTCTCAAAAGAGAAAGACCCTGTCAATAATGAATTCCCCAGTGACGTTAGTCAGGCTGCTATGTAATTATGAAAGCTGAATGCATCATTGATGAGGTGCCACATGCACATTGTCAAGTTTTGTGCTTGGTTGCAAACCCATAGAGGTCACCAGACACTGACTCCTTCCTGGTGTTGCTCTGTCAGGCCTGCAATGTAGGTATTTTCTGTTCCTGGCAATTTTGAAGGCTTCCATCTGCATTCTTGTCTTCTATAAGGGAAAAGCATGCTCAGGACAAGTGATTGACTTGGTCAGTCATACACACTCCACACAATACACACAATGCTTTAACTGTGTGTTTGAGATTACTGTCCTGCTATAAAGTGGAGAATCACCCACTGAGGCATTCAGCTTTATCTGAACATTTAGGATGTACACTTTTTTTCACTCTGCCACTGCTGTATAGAGTCACATCATCCGTAAAGTGAGCTCTTTGCATGTCATAGGGGCCCAATAATGTAAAACTACTAAAGCTGCTGTGTAGTTTTTAAGGTCAAAAGGGGGAGTTTTGTTGACTCACCAAGTCATTAAACTGACCTGAACCCTACTGGGCACTGAAGATAGTTGAACTGAAGTAGTTTACACCTAAAAAGCCCCTGAAACAAGAAGGAACTGAAAATACCTGCATTACGTGCCTAAGAGAGCATCTTACTTCAGGCATTTGTCATATGCAAAGGGTTTGCAACCAAGTATTAACCTTGAACAAGTGTATGTCTATGAAAAATTCCCTCATCAATGATGCATTCAGCTTTCAGAATTACCTAGCAGCCTAACTAACATGTATGTCATACTGAGAGATGTCTCAATAAAGAAGTGGTTGTCTTTCTATGCTGTGTCCAGGATTACTCATGCAATTTATAATATCATTTCTTCCCTGACCTTTACTATCAGAAATTAATTTTGTTCTCATGTGAACAAGTGGACAAAACAATAAGAACTGTTTACTGTGACGTATAGAGTTACCAAAACACAACGCCCTTTTGTTTCCACGGACTGAAGGCAAGACTAGCAACCCAACCCAAATACAGGTCCTAACCTCCTTACAAGCAAACCCATACTTTCTGAGCTGAACAAGAACTTGAAGCCCACCAAGCCAATACAGCAAACATAACAGCTTCTTTAGAGGCAAGCATAAAAATAAAATGTAGAGAAATTCATATTCCAGCTGGGATGTTCTTAGATATGACTCTTCCAAACCAAAAGAAATATATTTAATTATCCTTTTCAGCATACCGGCATGCACATGAATCATATTTGTAAAAATAAAAAAGGCACATTTACAGTACTGTAAAAACACCATGAATAATTACAGTAGAAGTAAAAAATCATAAATACAGTAAAATGTATAATGTGTTATTTGGGGAAAAAAATAGTTTGTGAAATAGTTGGAAAAACAAAGTTTTGTTCCAGATGTCTGGACGCCCCCAGCCATCATTTCATCACCAGCACACTTAATTTAATACAATGAAGTATTGCTTAACCTACCCAGGCTCTATTGTGGGGGCAGGCATCGGATGATAAGGGCTGCTATGAGAAGTTTGCAAATGTTTAAACAAATACATTGACATTTAAAATCACCACTTATTGTGTTAATGTTATGTTATGTCTATTGTAAGTTAAGGCCTAAACGTTTCCACAGTACTGTAAGTATATTAAACCTACTTTAAGAAATTATATACACGTGTCCCTTCTCGATCTTAGTGCGGCATTTGACACAATAGACCACACTATCTTACTAGACAGACTAGAAAACCTTGTAGGGGGTAACAGGAATAGCTCTTTCCTGGTTCAGGTCCTACCTCACTGATTGCTATCAGTTTGTTAATATAAACGGTGAATCATCTGTTCTCACAAAAGTAAAGTATGGTGTTCCACAAGGCTCTGTTTTAGGACCTGTATATGCTACCATTAGGCACCATTATCAGTAAACACGGCATAAACTTCCACTGCTATGCCGATGACACTCAGTTATATTTAGCGAGCAACCCAGATGATAGAATTAAACTTAGCAAAATTGAAGACTGTATAAAAGACATAAAGGACTGGATGTCGAGTAACTTTCTCCTTCTAAACTTGGATAAAACAGAGGTTCTGCTTCTTGGTCCAAATGCAGCTAGAAACAAACTGTCTGATTTTACACTTATACTTAACAATTTCTCAGTTGCATTAAGCTCATCTGTAAAAAGCCTTGGTGTCATTATAGACCCTGATCTGTCCTTCGACGCATATATAACTAATATTACTAGAACAGCCTTCCTGCATCTCCGCAATATTGCTAAATTGAGAAATGCATTATCTCTACAGGATGCAGAAAAGTTAGTTCATGCATTTATTACTTCAAGGCTAGACTACTGTAATGCCCTGCTGGCTGGATGTCCCAGCAAAAGCCTTAACAAGCTTCAGTTGGTCCAGAACGCTGCAGCCAGAGTCCTTACAAGAACCAGAAAATTCGACCATATCAGACCAGTTTTATCAACCTTACACTGGTTGCCAGTTAAATTTCGGATTGGATATAAAATTCTCTTACTGACTTACAAAGCTCTGAACGGACTCGCCCCTCAGTACCTGAGTGAACTTCTCTCCCACTATGAACCATCACGCCTACTTAGATCACAAGGTGCTGGCTTACTATTAGTACCTAGAATTAGTAAAGTTACGTCAGGGGGGAGAGCTTTCTCATACAAAGCCCCCCGGCTTTGGAATAGTCTTCCTGTTAATGTTCGGGACTCAGACACAGCGTCAGTCTTTAAGTCTAGGCTAAAAACTTACTTGTATAGTCAAGCCTTTGGTAATTAGTTTCTCCTGTCAGTTCTATACCTGCCAGAGTCTCTGCTAACACTGTAATTTGTGATCGGTCACCCATTACAGAACTGACTCTCTATGTGTTTTCCTTTCTTTTCTTCGCCGAGTTGAACAGCTGCCCATCCTGTGCGTCTGATGCTGCTGCCTCTTCTGCCTTGATCGGGTGCCACTGCTCGCCGTGCAAACCTCACCCCCACAACCTGACCCCACTGATGCTGCTGCTGCATGAACTAAACTATTCAAATTAATTGTTTGCTCCACCTTTTACCCTGTTTTTGCACTATCATACTTAATACTTTATACTAACAATGTTTACTATCCGGTGTCGAAGGAGGATGGGTTCCCCTTCTGAGTCTTGGTTCCTCTCAAGGTTTCTTCCTGTTTCTCTTAGGGAGTTTTTCCTTGCCACTGTCGCCACTGGCTTGCTCATGGGGGCTTGGACCCGGATTTCTTTTTGTAATGCTCATTTCCTTGTAAAGCTGTTGTGACAACACCTGTTGTAAAAAGCGCTATATAAATAAACTTTACTTACTTACTCACTACTACCTTTCGTATGAAAACTTACATGCACCAGAAAGTGCCGGTCTGCATGCAGATGTTAATGAACAGCGCCTCTATGGGTAGCAAGTGTGGACTAATACATGTGCATGTAACACCGGATACATTCTGCGGCAATTTCTCCTCAGATGCACAGTTACACATCAGTAGCCAAAAGGCGGAGCGCCGTTGCGCAGTTCCGCGTTTCTGCTCGTTCTGATTGGTGGAATATTGAGCGGGAGCTGACGTCCGCGAAAGTCCCGCCAATCACAGCAGGAGAGGAGACATTTCATAGAGCAGTCGCAGAGGTCGGCTACCTGTCTGACTCTCGCCCGGTTAGCGTGAACAGTTCGTTCAGTATCTACACGTTGTTGCTGTAAATATCCAAATTCCAAATGGCTGCTTACCAATTAGTTCTGATTCGCCACGGGGAGAGCTGCTGGAACCAAGAAAATCGCTTCTGCGGCTGGTTCGACGCTGACCTTAGCGAAACTGGGATTCAGGAGGCAAGGAGAGGCGGACAGGCTTTAAAAGGTCAGTAACAGCGCCGTTTACAAGCACCTTCTACAGTAGTACAGTTTTACGCCGTAAATAGTGTTAGTATTGTCAGGGATTATGCGTTTGCAACGCCAACACATGAACTTGCTTGTTTTTTTTAATAAATCCGTAAATTTGTGGTAGTTTTGCGTGATCGTTTTCACCTTTTCTTTTAAAAGAGAACAGTTTTATTAGAATGAGTCTTTTTTATCTAGTCATTTAGACTTTCCAAATGATTCGCCACGAGCATCGATTTCCTGGACAGGGGGCGTGTTTTCCGTTCTCTCGCTGAATCCCCGCCTCCTGAAACGTGCTCGCTGAGTCTGAACCAATCAGACTCCCTCTGAGCAGCTATGTACCGCCTACCGGTGACGTATGAGGCGTGTGCAGTCTGCTGCGAACGTGCTGCGTGGAGCGTTGTCCTTTCATGTGCCGAATGGCCTGATACACATGTCATGATGCTTTAAGCCTCATGATGATGATACCAACTTCTCTTTTTATGCTAATATACTTGTTAAATGTACACTATTTAACAGTCTCTCATCGTCAAAACGTGAAATTCACACTATTACCTGTTTGCTGTATAAAATTTAATACATATATTTTGCCTTTGCAGATGCTGGGTTTGAGTTTGACATTTGCTACACTTCTGTTCTGAAGAGGGCCATCCGTACATTATGGATCGTCTTGGATGGCATTAACCAGATGTGGCCTCCAGTGCACAGGACCTGGCGGCTGAATGAACGCCACTACGGCGGTTTGACTGGGTTAAACAAAGCTGAGACTGCTGCCAAGCATGGTGAGGCCCAGGTCAAGATATGGAGGCGCTCCTATGATATCCCTCCTCCTCCCATGGAGGCAGACCATGACTATTACAGTGTCATTAGCAAGGTGAGCCCAAACATACCCATGAGGTTAGCACAACAAAAACCCATATGTTTCATTATTTTTACCACTGTGCGTTGATATAATTATCCCCCTAGTGACTGATCTGTAACAGGATCATTACACAGCCACTGCAGTATACAGCTGGTTACTGGTTAATAGGCTATGGTCCAAAAGCCAAAGTTTAGCTGAGATGCTGTGCAGTTGTGTAAACAGCCACTCTCAAGAGTTGTGACCAGATAAGGCTTGAGGACACTGGGACATCGCTAATTTGGGCCAGATTTACACAAAAAATGACTGCCTGTTTGGTTCTTTTCTGTAGGACCGGCGTTATGCTGATCTGACTGAGGACCAGCTACCTTCTTGTGAGAGCCTGAAGGACACTATTGCCCGTGCCCTACCATTCTGGAATGAAGAGATTGTTCCTCAAATCAAAAAGGGCAAGAGGGTGCTGATTGCTGCCCATGGCAACAGTCTGAGGGGTATAGTGAAGCATCTGGAAGGTAAGTGCTGCATTCTTTCGTATATAATTATTAAATTCTGTATTTTGTTCCTCTGATGTTCCTGCTTTTGTTTAAACCTTATTCCTGCAGCATCATTATAGCATTCAAAAATATTTTGTTCATGCGCTAATCATATGTGGTTGAGCTAATACAGCTTGTTTCTTGCACTCTTAGGTATGTCAGAGGAAGCCATTATGGAGCTGAACCTCCCTACAGGCATCCCCATTCTCTATGAGCTGGACAAGAACTTGAAGCCCATCAAGCCAATGCAGTTCCTGGGAGACAAGGAGACTGTGCGGAAGGCCATGGAGGCGGTGGCAGCACAGGGCAAGGCCAAGAAGTAGAGTTTCCTTCCTTAGGCCAACTTTTACCAGGGGATTACTTGTCAGCACCGAATGGCTCTAAAAGGAGTTACCACTACTGACACCACACAACATCAGGATTCAGTGTGGGTTTGCATTTGAAATTGTTTTGTATATTCATTTGCATTGTGTGTGAACTGTTATTTTAGTGTGTCTAAATAACACATAAATAGTATTTATTGACCAAACCTGTATACAGGGACCACTAAAGTTGTCTTTAAAATTTCTCATTCTTCCACGGAATGTCTTTCATAATTTGCAGTGGACCACAAAGCATACTAAAATTTTATTAGGCTGTACAAAGAGGGATTGTAACATGAAAAAGACTCCTTATACGGTTATCATCATAGCAGAGAGGCTTTAAAACGGGAAGGAATGTGGTCTGCTCAGTTTACAAATGTAAACACAGTTCTAAGAAGTAATGTCATGCTTGTTCCTCATGTGTTTAGACAAATCTCTTTTATTTGGGCTCTGAGAACATTTAAAGGGAGTGAAGACAAGGTACTTAGATCCCCAATATAGTTAATGACGGTTATGCCATGCTACAGCAAGGGAGTCAGCCGAAGTGCTCTGCACATCATGTATCATATGTATTGTTGTCAAACTGTGTAAACTGAGAGGATGAATAAAATCTTTAAACCCATGCAACAATTCAAGAGATGATGTGATCCTTTGTTGAAGTGGTAACACCGAGTGCTACAGCAAGTGGATGCTTTTTTGGGGCATAACACACAAGTCTGATAAAATAAATCATTTTAATATAGGTTCAATAGCTGCTTGGCCAATACTGCATCAAGAGAAGTTCTCCCAAATTAGGTTAGTGCCCTTACAAAATGTTTCCATACAGACACATACAAATCTTCTAAATGTACGTCTGACGCTCAAGCATGTAGCAAAAATGTCTATACAGATGAGAGCTCATTCCATTCCTACCATAGGAAAAAAGCTATGAGTGTGATTTCTTGAAGGTCAAAGAAACAATATGTCTTTTAAGGCCCTGATCGATGTCTTTTAAAGATTTGATCTGGAACACATCTTTATCCTCCACAAACTTCTGAAACAAATAAAGTCCACCCCCAACCCCAAAATAATGAGACTTTGTTGCCAAATAGACAACTCCATCCTCCGCAAGCAGTTCATGAAATACATTATGAAGAGAAGGGTAGTAGTCTGTATTGTAGATGGTCTCAGATGTGAAGATGATGTCATATTTCAGTGTGGAGTCTTTACTCTGCATCAGTGAGAGATAGGAAGTCCAGTCCCCAGATAAGAAACTGCAGCGATCTGAGAGTGAACGACGGGAAGAATCCAAGGTTCTTTTCTTAGTTGGGGGGCTTCCATCTTTTTTTCCCTGTTCTTCATCATCACTCTCCTCCTCACAATTGAGGAACACATTGGGCATTGTTAACTGTTCTATCACAGTACTGTTGTAGTCCTGGAAGTGGACCTTACTGGCTCCTCTCTTTAATGCCAGAATGCCAAGTAGTCCAGCTCCACAGCCCAAGTCCAGGACTCTTTTTTCAGAGAACGTCTCTCCTTCATCGTCAATGTACTCCAGCAGATCATAGGTGCATTCCCAGATTTTCAGGCCCCCCTCATACACCCCCGTTATCAGGTCTGTATTCTGGGTCACAGTCTGAAACAATATGTGCTCACCGTCATCACGCTCAGGGGCAGTTTGCTCAAACACAGATTCGTTGAGGTAATGGAGGGGCGGTAATGTGCCTATGCTGACCGTCTCTGTGACCGAGCTCTCAGAGTGGGAAAGAAAATCCGGCGTGGGCTTGTGCTCTACTGCTTCCTTTAGCTTCTTATGGACAGATTCACTGGCCTCCTACGGGGGATGCAGAAAGCATTCAGTTACGTACAGATTGTTGAGATGCTGTTTAAAGCTAGACCTAACGTTACCTGTTGAACAATCCTCTAACTTTACCTGTACAAGACAACTTACACATTTGTGCATGCAAGAAAAGTTATATCTAACGCTGGCTTCGTTAATTCGCTGCCTAGCCACGGTAGAAGGACCAATGTGTGTGTAAAAACATTAATATATGCAATAATACTACAGCACGATATACAGCCTTTAGCAACTAACGTTCATGAAGGCAGACCGTTTATATTAGCAGGCTAGTTCCATTTTTCCAACCGCAGCTAACGTTAGCTCGCTACTTACAAGCTTGCTCTGGTTCTTCAGAACATCTACATTTTCTTTTTCTATCATCTCGACTGTCGTCGCCACAGTTCTCCTTAGTCTGCAACGGAATACTGAAATTAAAACTGAATGCCATAACTGTGCAGCGAAGAAGAAGACAGTTTAATGTCATGCACGTGCTGCAATACACGTTTTGGACTACAAGAACCACAATGCCTTTCGACGGCGTGACCTTCTCCTTTTCCTGTAGTGTAACCATAAAATAAGGGTGAATTCTTAAAAAAATGCCGGAGAACATGACTGAATGAAGCTTGCAAATGTTTTCCTGTCCCTTAGGATATCTGCCGAACTAGGTTAACGAGTCGAATCGAAGCAAATTTAAATTACGAATTATTTTATTCGTCACAAGATGTCAGACACTGGCTCTTAAAAATACTGAATCGGCGCAAATTTAACCGTCTCTGGAATCATTGGCAAACTAATATAACTGTTTATCACTATCAGCGCATAGACAAGAGGACGAGGCTATTATAATACGATTTTGCCTTCCTTTTCCTGAAACGTCGCTGACTTGTGAGAAGACTCAAATTCCCACAATTCCTTGAAATCCCCAGCAGTTTCAACCCACGAACCTGAGCGTCGCCGAGCAGTGAAAGACACCAAAAGGGCTGGAACAACTGGCTGAATTATTTGTCTCATGTCCGCGATTAAATCCTTCTTTAGCACTACCATGAGCTGAGGTTTGGCTTCGGGTGCTTCTGACAGAGGAAGACCGTGAGGTGAGACCGTGGAGGTAAGGAAAATATCTGTGTTCGAGCTGTACTGTACCCAAAAAGATGAGAGCTGCTTGTTTAAAGGTGGCTATGTGTTTAAGTATTATAGTGTTATTTTAACAGAGTATTAGCGTGAAGCGTTCGTGTAGTATATTCTCCTATGAGAAACCTGCTATGAGAAATCATTAATCCTTAATTTGGTCACACTGGAGATTAAATGTACCGCTTAGTTGTGGTTGTAGTGAGTGCTGAATGGGTTGATGGCTGATAGCAGTGGTGCTTCTCACTCTCACTCTCTCAAGACAGCCCTTTATTTCAAACTTGCTCCTCACGCCCTGCATGGAATGCAGAACGTCAGGATTTCCATGTCCACTCAGGGGAGGCAGCCCAGTGTCATTCAGATCAGCCAGCATTTTACTAGTTATTATTTTGAATACTGTAAGACTTTAGTTAAGCTTTAAACCTCCATCTCAGACATCTCTAAAGTACAACAAAGACATTCACCAAACAACTGTCAGTGGTGTTCTGTCACTGGCCTTCCCATCATCAAGTAAAAGGATGTATGTGTATGTGTGTGCATGCGCACTCGTGCGAGGCTCTGTTAATCTCTCGTTCAGAAGGGAATTAGGGGCGCATGGCTTTTCATCAGGACGGTTTGAAGCCTGTCTGCTGAAGATTAAACATCTGGCTAAACCCAGCAATCCAGAGAAAGAAGTATTAACTGTCTGCCTGGCCCTGTGTGTTGTGATGGCTAGATTTAGTTCATTTTTGGTTTGTTTTCCCTGCTCTAACACACTTGATTGAGCTCGTGGAGGGCTGTGTAAGTTGGTGAAGAATTTAACTCATTAGAATAAGCACTACAAAATTTACATTTTTTTCTTTTGTGCTGAAAACTCACATTGTATTCTTGTGAGTGATGCATGTTTTGTTCCATATACATAGTAGGTTTAGTCAGATTTTATCAGATGACCTCAACAACTGATATTTCAAGTGTTTGAGTCAATGGAATAGATACTAAATAAGATGATGATCAAATAGACCAGCGTGTATTTATGATATACATTTGAGTCATTTCGTTTTAGCTAGACCTGATCTGCTTAGATAGATCAGATACTGCGTCTTACTAATTGGCTTATAAGTTCAGCAAGAGGGCCACTGGCTACTGATCTAAATGCTGAGTGTGCTGAGGTGTCTCAGGGTTACATGGTATTAAGCAGAGCTTGGCTTCCAGTCTTCAGTGCACCTTGCTGAACTTACAGAATCACTCCTTTTGAAATGATAAGAAAGCTCTCTGTATGGACAAGAATGTAAAAAGCCGTGACAAGGCATGACAATATGTATCGATATCATGTTAAATAACATGACATTGTGTCACAATAAGCTTTTCTGAGCATAATCATGGATATCAATATTGTCAGTACTTAAAGAAAAAGACATTACAAATGGGATTTAGTGCAGCACAGTATGAAACGTGGAATTAAAATCGTTGTACATATAGTTGTTGATAGTATTTTTTTTTAAAGTACCACTATTATTTTTTTTTCTGTTCCAACTAATCAAACCTCTAAAAAAAAAACTAAAAATTATAATGCATATTGTGTAACATGAAAAATTATCATGTTATCATGTTATTATATTTCTGCTATATTGCCCACTAATTATCCAAGGCCCTGTTTTCCAAAAGCATCTATTATAAGTAAGAACTATAACTGGTGAGAGATTGTAATCAGTGAGATGCTCACTCTACCATTTCAGAATAATCTTTGTCCTAAGATGCTTTCAGGAAATCCAGCCCAGGATTGAAAAAGAAAATTCCTACATTTTGGAAATATTACATAATATATTTTATGTTTACTGTCTTGCTCATTTACATTTTTTCATTACTAAAGAGTTGTTCCAGTAAAGCTTGCCATGCTTTTGGACCAGTTTCTTGCATCCTTTAGATAGGACTTGTAGGGTGTATGGAAAGCAGTGTTTTTTTTCTGTGTACTTTATTTCCAGTATAACTGGAATTAGTATGCCTGCTTATTAACTGAGATGTTTACTGTAACTGTATAGACTGTTTGTTATAGAACGTACTTTGTAGATAATTGCCACAGCTTGCTTAAGACGTACACAGTTGAAAACTTGTCAGTTTTGCAAAAAAAGATCTGTTAAGAAGATTTATAAGCGTTGCATATTCTTTCTGTTAATACACAATGGCAAGTGATATTATACCTCTTGTTTTCTAGCGTCACGATGCGTCCCTGCACGAGTGTCATGCATCTGTTTGGGAGATGGTTACGGGGCTGCTCCAGACGCAGTCGCAACCGCATGCCTCGGAGACTAAGGGAACCCCTGAGCTACTTTAGACTCCTCTTAAAGTCCCTCTACTTCAACTCGCTCACCAACTCCGATGTGGTGGTAGATTCCCTCTTTGAGCCAGTCTTCTGGATGGTGGATATTCTTACCCGCTGGTTCGGGAAGGTAAGCTTATAAATACCTGTAAAATGTGTCTATATTTTCTTTAGATAGATTGCACACATCACTAAATTTGTAATATTTGGTATCCGGTTTATTTATAAGATGGTTTGTTTTTCTCTTTTTTGAGGTTTTTGTGTTTCTAGTGGTAGCTCTCACCAGCTCCATCCTCTTTATTGCATACTTCTGCCTCCTCCCCTTGGTCCTTCATACCTATTCTCCTGGATGGATAGTTTGGCACATCTGTTATGGACACTGGATCTTGGTCATGATAACCTTCCACTACTACAAGGCTACAAGTACATCCCCTGGATATCCTCCTAAGGTTCAGTACATATACAGATGATTGTCGTATGTGAAAGATATGTGAAACTGTCAATGTTTATATTTAATTAGAAAAGTAATCCATTTTCATATATTTTGATTTTGATTTTCAGATGAAGAATGACATTCCATTTGTGTCTGTCTGCAAAAAGTGCATAATTCCAAAACCAGCAAGGACTCATCACTGCGGGATTTGCAACACGTAAGAACAATGTAGTTAGTGTAGTCTCATGTCAAGAATGTCCAAGTCAGTCTTCTGTGTTGTTTGTCTGAGACATACTGCTGACACTGCCTTCACATGATGCCCTCTTCGCTTTGCAGGTGCATACTGAAAATGGACCATCACTGTCGTATCCTTTTCAGGAGCCTACACTAAAAATGACTTCCAGTGGTGATTTTCTATTGGTGCTGCAGTGTAGTCCAAGACTAGGCTTAATCCAGTTCTGGGAAAAGTGCCCCAAAGCTGAGTTCATAAACTCCTGAGAGCCTCCTGTATTGCACAGCTTATTATTCCCCTGTTCTAACATGTCTGATTCAATTCATCAGTTAATTATTCATTTAAATTGAGTGTGTCAGAGAAAACTAAACCCTGAATTGTGTAGTGCTACTGTACAGTTTCAGAGTCTGACCCAACAATATCTATGAAAAATTAAAGGCGAATTCAGTCAAGATGAAAGCAGAGTGATTCAGAGTGTTTTGATGTGTATAGGTTCATTGTATAGAAACCTACCGACTCTGATTTCTTTGCATTGTTCTGCAGTGTTTATTTACTGTTTAAAATTACTAGTGAACCTATACATGTCTTCTGATTTTTGTTGATGGTAAAATAGTGGAAAAAAATAATTCTTTGGGTACTATTTTTGCCTCACAGCGCCCTGCATGTACCTCCCCACCATGAATGTGTTTTTTAAAAAAGACATTTTAGTCCAAAACCTTATCACAAAAGAATGGTAAATCAATGTCAATGTCTAATTCATAACCATTTCATGCAGTAACATTCTGTGAGGGAGCTTTTAGAAGCATTAAACACTTCAGTTCCTATCACCAACCACTGTGAACAATTCTGAGATGGGAAGTTTCTCTAGTTTAGAACATTTCACATCCAGCCACTCTGAATGACTTTGTTTATATCTTAACCATTTACTTATGCAGAATTTTGGAAAAATCAATGGAATTCCCCTTTAATTCTAGTATACCCTTCAAACTAATTTTTAAATACAAAAACTTGTAATTGGAACAAGAGCTTTACATTCTGCAATGATTCTGTAAACTTTAAAGATTCCTAAGGGAACTAAATGTGCTTCTTCTATGGCATCGCTACAAAGAACTTTTTTTGGGCACCTTTATTTTTAAGAGTGTAGTCTGTTTTTCAGTCTCTACAAGAATGATTCAGTGAAAGGAATAGTACATCTGTTATTCCCTTTGATGTTGTCCTTCCACTTTTAACCTTAACTGTCCATTTTCAGCTTGGCTTAACAATTGTGTTGGTCATTTCAACCACCGCTATTTCTTTTCATTTTGTCTCTATATGACTCTCGGCTGCCTGTATTGCAGCATCAGTGGCCGAAACCTCTTCATAGATGCGTATAATGCCATAGATGTAAGGATTGCCACCTTTGTGCTAAAAGTGTGGGGCTCTGTTTTAACACCCTTTTATTCAAAACTTG